CTATCAGCTCTGGTGAGAGACTTACATCATGGACAGCTTTATGCATCTCGGGAAGAGTATCACATTTAAGCGCCAGATCCCATAACGCTTGCGCCATTTGGTCGTCTTGTACCCCAAGATATGAATCCAAGACTTCGTTCAAACGGCCGATCATTACTCTGTCAAGAGCACCCTGCGAGTATTTTTTCAAAAAAGGGGGTCTTGTTTGATAGGGTGAGCATACCTCCTCAATAACAACTCCTCCATTTGCTTTAAATCGCAGCGTCTTTTGGCCATCATTTAAAGCTTTTTTACTGGACAATGAGTTGCGAGGAGCAATAAGTTGAAATCCTGATTGTTTCGGTGACACAACGCGCAATGTGAAACTGAAAAAAGATAATAGAAAACGAGTTATACTGCTGATCTACACTATTGACAATGCTGACGTTTTGCCTATAGGCATGCTTCGTAGGATTCTTACAACCTCATAGTGTCTCATGCCTGTGACATTAATACCGTCAATTTTCTCGATTAGTTGGCCGATGTCAAGAGCAGGCCGCGCGCGTGCTGAAAACGGAGTTTTGTTGCATACCATATTTGGGCGATTGCAGCTTACAAGCAATGCTATCCTCCTTGATGCGTTTGATGAATGAACGGCACCTCCCATTGTCGCTCACAGTCAAACCGAACATTCTGAATGTTTCACAAGAGTAGTTAGCGAACGAAGTCACAAGTTTATATTTAGCGTGGGAAGTGCGTATGATTACGGCAGGTTGAAATATTGTTAACTAAAATGTCAATTTTTACCTAGGTTCGACTCCTGCTCTTAATGTTTTAGAAAGAAAAACCGATAAAGGGAAAGAAAAATGAAGACATTGCAAGTTTTGCGTTGCTAGCTTCTGCAATACTACGCAAAATGCGTGTAATAAATATCGACTCTTAAATGTTTGATTTATCTCAAAGATCTGTCCTTTATTTTTTCACGCTTTTGTTTTTATTGATTGCTTTTTATATTTCATTTAAGCAAGTAGTCTTCTACGGCCAAAATAAATCTTTGGTCCATGTTTGTTTGAGCTTCTACAGTACTAATTGAATTACCCCTCCGATTTGGTAAGTTCAACTTCAACAGGTTGTCCCTTCACATGCGCAAATAGCATGTCTGAATATTCCAAACTGCCTGCGAACAGCTTGTCCATATCAGGCTGAAACACAATCCAGTTGGTATACTCAGCTTCGATGTTGCAAACACATACCTTGAACGTATTGACGGTGCAGAAAATGATGTCATCTGGAGAAATGTTGAAGGAGTCGGCGATCGACTAAATTTTGAATATGATGTACAGAGAGGATTGAAAAACAAAACTTGCTCTGAAATAAACAAACATACTTGGAACAGTTCGCTTATAGAAGCAAAGTTGGAAATGATTGCCGTAGGAGAACCATGCGCGAGTTGGCAGCAAAATTTCATATTGCGGGCCGCTGCTACTGAATTTCACATTCTGTTTATGTTATAAAGAAAGGACCAATGTCGTACCGAAAGGACTACATTCTACAGCGTTGCCGACGTTCTGACAATTGCTAGTAAGGATGGGATAAACACGCCTAAATGGCGCATTTTTGCGTCTAAAAGCTCTTGCTCGTATTTTCTGTTTAGGACGAGGTGGTGGAGCGACTCGGGCCGCCTCCACAGGTGGCTGTGTTTTGAACGAAGGAGTTGTCTCCGCAGATGGCTTTGCAACCGTCGGACTTGTTGGCTTTTTACCCTTGGAATCGGTCTTTTGCTCCTTTTCCTCCACTTGCATTCGTGGTGGAGTTGTTTTTTG